GTCTACCAGACAGAGGGCATCCGTGGCTTCTATAGAGGATTAACTGCCTCGTATGCTGGAATTTCAGAAACTATAATCTGTTTTGCTATTTACGAAAGTTTAAAAAAGTATCTGAAAGAAGCTCCGTTAGCCTCTTCTGCAAATGGGACTGAGAAAAATTCCACAAATTTTTTTGGACTCATGGCAGCTGCTGCTATTTCTAAGGGATGTGCCTCCTGTATTGCTTATCCACACGGTATGTTTTGCTTTTTTCTTCCAGAACAGCAAAACAGGTGTCAGGTTTGTCATTCCTCAGTATACTAGAGCTCTGTAGCACAAACTAAAACACAGATACCTGCAGGGAGGGTAAATGAGTACGAGTGGAACTGGCTTTCACTGCGTGGATGTGGGTCATGTGAGTAGTGGGAACCTTACTCAGCTCTAACTGATCATGGCCAAAACTTGCTGTGCAGAAATGCAGGCCCTGTGGTGCTAAACTTTTTATATTTTTAAAGAAGCCAAAAATCTGGATTTTATTTAAAATTCTTTGTTTCAAAAAAGTTATGTAGGAGCCAAACTTAAACACATGGCTTCTACTTTGAATGGGATGCTGAGTAAGGCTACTTTGGGTAAGTTTATTTTTAAAGAGTTATAGAATTATCGTCCTACTGGCCCAGTTCATAAAAAATGCTTAATTTATTGTGCCATGAAAAACAGGTTTTGTTTTCAGAAGCCTCCTGCACAGTTAGCCATGACAAATGCACATGGTCAACTCAGTAACACCATTCAGTCCCCATTGTGTGCTGGGGCACCAAGCTAGCCCCAAAGGGCCTATGGAGAAGAAGTTGGTGATGCCTTCTGGGGCCTGAGGTCTGTGTGACAGGCAAGAGTGACAGATGTCCAGCTGTGGGTGCCTGTGGCAGGGAGAAGGGCAAAGGCTTGAAAAGGGAAGAGGGAGGAGGTGGCTGTTAAGCTGGACAGAGTGGAAAAGGATTTGAGGAGGAGGAGAAAATTGAGTACAGGAAAATAATTTGTCAAAGATACTGCCATACTTCATACAGATTACACCTCCAGTGAAATTAATGTTTGTTTAATTGGGAGTAGAAAACCATGAATTATTTTAAAATTAAGTTGGCACTCAACTAAGCTTTTTTTAACCCCTTAAAAGTTATTTTATACTTGTGTGTGTGTGTGTGTGTGTGTGTGTGTGTGTGTGTGTATAAATATCCCTAATTGACCAATTCCCAGAGTTGGAAACGTTCTGAACGAACTTTTCTTTGCCTGTCTAGGTATATGACTATCTTGTCCAAATAGAGCTAAGATGGCAAACAGACATAGTTGGATATTGACAATTATAGAGTTGTGTGCTTTGGATTCTTTCCCCATTTTATTTGTAGCGTAAAAGTGGTATTTCTCTCTCTGCAGAAGTCATAAGGACACGGCTCCGTGAGGAGGGCACCAAGTACAAGTCTTTCATCCAGACAGCGCGCCTAGTGTTCCGGGAAGAAGGTTACCTCGCTTTTTATAGAGGACTCTTTGCCCAGCTCATCCGGCAGATCCCAAATACTGCCATTGTGTTGTCTACTTATGAGTTAATTGTGTACCTGTTAGAAGATCATACTCAGTAACAGGCCAGAAAATTGTGCTCTAGAAGAATAAAACTGAAAAACTCTAGAGAATTTTTTTTCTATTGATGTTTAGAATGTTTGAGACTGAAACAGGGAAGGCCATAAAGTATCTATCTGGTCATATCACCTGTTGGACATTTCCTTTTGGATTCGTGCTTTCTGGAAGGTTTCAATTCATTAACGTTAATAGTTAATTATAACTTTTTTTTTTTTAACTTAAGAGGATTCAGGATTAAGCAGCAACTAAATTAAATCATGCTATTTAATTTAAGTATACATTTGGTTTGTGTCCTCTTTTATGCTCACTGTACTGTAAACTGTAGCTAAGGACCTAAGTATTTCAGTGAAACATGCCCTAGAAATGCAGAGAAGGATAAAGTCAAAATGCATCTTGTTTCTATTCTGACTTTAAGATCTGACTGCTGGACAGGGAAGAAGTGTCACATTTGGTGGTGCTATGTGTACCAGGACAAACTTACTAGCTGTTTCTCTCCTCTGTATGTTTCCACTTCTTCATACAGATTGATAATCTAAGCTTTCAGGATGCTGAGATGAAAAAAATAAGTATAACTTTCTGACATTAAATATTTTAAACTATAAATATTTTCCTGAAGTTATCCTCTTCATTTAAACTAAAGGCAAGAGCTTTTAAAGAACCGTTTATCAGTTGCCTAGCTCCTGGAAGTTAAGCCCAGGTACCTTGTGAGTGTGCTACAGCACAGCCTCCCAATTCCGCTTTGAATGCAGAGTGTGACGAGGAACAGCTGTTCTCGCTGAGGTCTTTCACCCTGTTCTTACATCTATCTCTGCTCTTGGAGAAAAGGAGCACAACTCGGGACTGTTGCCCATCCCTTGGAGAGTTTGCTTTTATTCTGACAGGAGGTGTTGGTATTGTTTAAATACCCCAGCTCAAAGTTACGAAATTACCAGAATTTTATTCCCTCATTTTTAAAGCAAATTTAATAAGGGAACAAAAAGATGGTAATAAGACAGAAAGCAGGTAAAACCAATAGTCTTCCATTAGCTCCCTGGAATTTGAGTGTGTGGTACATGAAGGCTATTTTTCAATCTGAACATCAGTAAAGATTGTTCTAATACTGATGCACTGTAGTTTCAGATCCAATTGTGGAAACTCTGGCAGGGAAGAGGAGGATATTTCCAAGTTGTATTTAAATTGAGTTTAATTTTGTTCACCTTTATACAGTCATAAGGGAAGCTAGCTGGTATTCTTCTACTGTCTGTAGTTTGCTTCAACAACTTACCTAGAAGCCAAAACGAGTGACTTTAGTCAAGCTTCAGTGCTTTTAAATGCATGACAGTAAAGCGATTTCCAGAAACTCATTTTAACTCTTTCATGGTGGCACTTAGTAACATTTTAATATTCACATTCCTATTTTAATATTTGATGATACTTAGCAACATCCTCCTATTTTAATATCCATATTAAAACATGAATTTTTCCCCAAGATTTTTATCCAATATGAAAGTTAAAATTTGGTTTAGTTTTCACTGATACATTCTTGAATGAATAAATTTGATGTTAACCTAGTATAATTTAGTTCTCTGCTTCTCCTGCACCAGGGCATTGAAGTAAACTTGAGCACCCAAAATGGGAAGACAATAAGCAGGAAAGAAGTGCTAAAGAGGCTTGTTGGATTTGAAAATTGGAAGTATCACTGTTTGAGCTGTTAATGGAGAAATCCCATCATTTATTTCACTTCTTCACAAGCTTAGTCATTTGGATTTCATTATTTTTAAGTAATCATATATATACACGTATGCACACACACATTACGCCTTTTAAAACCCTCACTCCATAGCCAGTGTGTGCCAGGCACTGTGCAAAGTGTTAGGTATCTTCTCATTTAATTCTGACAACCTTGGAAGTATTGTTATCATCCACATTTTTTTTTTTTGGAGACAGTCTCCCTTTGTCACCCTGGGTAGAGTGCAGTGGCCTCATCACAGCTCACTGCAACCTCCACCTCCTCAAGCAATCCTCACCTCAGCTTCCAGAGTAGCTGGGACTACAGGCACGCACCATGACCACGACACCTGGCTAAATTTTCTATTTTTAGCAGAGACGGGGTATCACCCTTGCTCAGGCTAGTCTCAAACTGCTGACCTCAAGCAATCCTCCTGCCTTGGCTTCCCAGACTGTTAGGATTATAGGTGGATGCTATGCCTTAAGTGGTTCATTCATCTGCTCATGGCTGGTGAGAGCATCAAGACTGCAAATGGAAAGGCCTTTGCTTGGATATTCACTTCCAAGAAAGAGGAAGTCCAGTGCATACTCAAGTCAACCCTTAAGGGTTTTTTTGGGTTCCTTTCACTCTCCCAGACCCTCCTTCCCAGCCAGCGAATGTGCATGATTAAGGTGGGGATAGATGAACTGGCGGTAGGAACAGAGATAACATTTGCCCTGGACCCATCGCTACCCACAAAGAACTTACAATGTTGACCTCAAAAAACACTGCAAAAGTTGTCAGAACACTGAAACATTGTGTAATTAGATGCAAACATTTTCTTTTTTTTAAACTAGTAGTTTAGCTCAAGTTAATAATGAAACACAGTTAATGTTCTCTAATCCTCCCCATCAGATGATGAGTGTGCAGTTCAGTGTTAACCATCCTCTATTTCCTGCAGACACATAAGGCTTTATTCAAACTTCGGATATTATAAAAATCAATCTGCATGTTGCTTTTTTAAAAACGTTATCATCCTTTCAATGCAATAACTCTAGCTCTGATATTCTAATGGTTGCATTATGTTCTGAATTATGACTCTTATGACTTTATTCAACCTAGTCCCCTATCCATTCGCCGCGCATGTTGCTTTTTTAAAAACGTTATCATCCTTTCAATGCAATAACTCTAGCTCTGACATTCTAATGGTTGCATTATGTTCTGAATTATGACTCTTATGACTTTATTCAACCTAGTCCCCTATCCATTCGCCGCAAACCAGCACTGAACACATAGGCCTGGGTTTGGCTAGAGTCGCTAGACTATGGGAAGACAGGATTAGCAGGATAAAAAGACTAAATTACAAGCAGTCGCTTACGCCCCGAGATGTTCCCTTTAGTCGCAGAAGGTTAGTGGACCTTTTGCAGCCTGAGCTCCAGGTCCTCGTGGTGGGCGTGGCTTTCGCGCCGGGCTCCGCGCGCGGTCTTTTCCCTCCGGCCGCTGGGGGGCGCGCCCGAGCCGCCGCCTCCGCCGGCGCCCCGCCCACCCCGGCTCGCCCCGCGCTCCGATTGGCTGCGCGGCGGGAGCGCGCCGAGTCAGGGAGGGGGAAGGCGCGCGCTGGCTACAAAGCAGCGAAGGTCACGGCGGGAGGAGGCGCGCGCCGCCGCCCCGCGTCCCGCCTGCGGCCCGCGCCCCGGCCCCGCCGCCGCCCGCAGTCCTCCGCGAGCCATGGAGGGAGTGAGCGCGCTGCTGGCCAGCTGCCCTACGGCCGGCCTGGCCGGCGGCCTGGGCGTCACGGCGTGCGCCGCAGCCGGCGTGCTGATCTACCGGATCGCGCGGAGGTGAGTGCGCGGCCCGGCCCCACGCGGCCTTCGGCGCCGCCCGGGCCCGCTGCCCGGCCCCGGCCCGGCTTCTGTGCCGCGGAGGGGCCCGCGGGGGCCGCGGCGGGGACACGCTGCTCGTGGACGCGCGAAGACCCGCTGTGCGCGACCGCGGGGCGAGTTCGGATTCCCGGTCGGGAAGCGGCTGGGGAGTCTGGCCGGGGGCGGGAACTCCGGGAGCGCGGGTGCGGGCGGGAGCGGCGGCGGTGCGGGGGTTGTAAACTTCTTCCTTCCGGGAGCCCTGGGCCTTTGCAGCCTGCGGGAGAGTCGAGCGCGGGGTCGAGGCCGAAGCTCTCCTGGTCGTCGGCGGCACGTTCAGGGTGGTAATGGCTGGCGCTCGCTCAGGGATTTTTCTGCACGCTTCGAGTCAGCCCAGTACAGAGACACGACTCCCGCTCTCCCTAGAGAAGCCGAGGGACAATGAGGCCACATAAATTGTTATTGGAAGAGTCAAAGGATTTTTTACTGAAGGATCCTGCAGTGCTAACCCTGGACTAGACCTCCCAGAGGTGAGGGAAGCCTGAGATACCTGAGGGCTGCGGCCCCCAGCGCTGCGCTGGGCTCACAGGTCCTGCAGACCCCTATATTCAGAGCTGGCCTCTCTCGTCGACCTCCATGGGCAGGAATAAAAGTGTGGTGACCTCTTGCTTCAGCAGGGCTACATTTCCTCACCTGATCCACCTTCCCAGGAGACAGGGAGAAACGTGGGGTTGTAAGGACACCCCTAGAGATGGGGTGGGTGGTTTTGCAGCTCCAGCAAGGGGTGTGTGAAGCTCAGGTCTTAGGTGAAGGGAGCGAAAGAACTTGCCCACACTCACCCAACAGCAAGTGTCAGAGCTCGGATTTGAACCCTGGCAGTCTGGCTGGTGGGTGTGTTCTTCCTTCACTGATAGCATGTACTGCTTTTCTCCCTAAGGGGGAAAACAGAAAAAGAAATGAGAGTGGTTGAGTCACAGAGGCTTCCTGGAGGAGGATGAGGTGGGAGGGACATCAGCTGTGTCTGGAGAACTGAGGAGGGCAGGCAGCTGGGGATTGAGTGAGCTCCCAACTTAAGGGTCCTTGACAACCCAAGTCTCTCCATGTCCCAGTTTCTGCCCAATTTCTGAAAGCTGGAGGGGCGTGCAGGACCAGCTGGTCCAAACCGGTCATTTTATACGCAAGGGAACAGAGACGTGAGGCGATTTGCTCAGATCCCCAGAGCATGTTGACAGCAGAGCTGGAGCCCCGTTTTCTTCCGGGGTGATGCTGCCTCTCAGCTAACCCAGAAGGGGGAGTGTTGCCGCAAGGACCAGAGCCTGGGTGAGGGCATGGTCTCCAAGCCACGCACCGTCTCAGTTGTGATTGGCGAGGCTGGATTTGGACTGGGTGGCTCCCTGTGCCACAGTCGTCCATGTCCTGGGCTGTGGCTCTTCTCAGGGGTCCAGCCTCCCCTTCCTGGCCTGCTAGCCACAGCTTTTTGTCTCCAGGAGATAGGCGTCTAGGGCCTTGGAGAGGTGTTGTGCAAGTTGGTGCAGTGGGAGCTGGGAGGGTACCTGGAAGTCCTTTCATGCCCCTGGGTGACACCAGATGGTTGTGATGCAGCATTTTGACCATTGCTGTTGACTGGGCAGAAAAGGGCCAGCCCCTGCCAGGATGCTCTAAAATGTCCTCATGGAGCACTGGGTTTCGCCTGGAGGTCATAAATTGGCCGCTGTCACAATTTAGAAGCACCACTAATCTGGCAAGAGGCCCTTCTCCCTCCACGGACAGTGAGGAAGCATTGGCTCTGGCCACAACACTGGTTTTGGATGACCCTTGGGAGGGCGTGTAAGGAGAGTTGTTTTTGGAAGGCGACTTGGCTGGATGGGTGTTTGCAGGCTCAGCACAGAGATGGCAGAGGGCAGGAAAGTGGCCGCGAGGAGGATGTGAAGGGAACGCCCTCTTGGTGCTCCAGGTCAGTTGCGTCCTCTGCTGTAGGACTGGCTGAGGTGCTGGGGGAGGAAGTCCCTTTGCCGAAGGGCTCAGGTCCTCCCAGAGCCTCAGACAAGGCTGACCCCTGGAGTCCTCTCACCCTGTCATAGTTATTAATGGGAGCAGCTGACACATAAGTGCTGATGATGTGCCGTAAGCACTTGCACACTGCCACTTTGCGAAACTGGGCGGCAGCCACCCAGGGTCCTCCTGTTCTCCCCCTTTTACAGTTAAGGAAACAGAGGCTTGGGGAGGTTGGGCTGCCTGCCCCGCATCATCCAGCTGTTAAATGGCAGAGCTCTGCCTCGCGCCAGCTCTTCAGCTGTCAGCCAAGCTTCACGCCCTCGGTGCTTCTCTGCACCCACTCAGGGCCACCACTGTCAGCACAGTCATGGGGCAGAAGCCCACATTACACTCCCCTGGGCTTGCTCACCCCTGCAGCCAGGCTGTGGTGAGGCCTGTAGCTCCCTAGGCTCCCCTTCCCCTTGACTCTGGTGCTTGAGTGTGTCCTTGTCCCTCATCACATTATGTCCAGGACTCATCCTCTGCAAGCACAGCCCTGTTCTTGTCACCCTCTACACATCTGTTGGTGTTTATTGAGATTGCCTACTTTCTAGTGTCTGGGGACAAAGAGGATGCAGCCTTCCAGGTTATGCAGCAGAGCCTGGTGCTGGTGTTCTGAGTCCCCTGTGTGGCCCCACTCGCTCTCCCAGTGCTGCGTGCTCTCTCGGAGTGGTGTGGTCCCCTCCCTCTGCCTTTTGCTGTGCTGGTGAGCACAGCTGCTCTTTAGAGCGACAGCAGATGCCCGGCTTATTGGTCTTTCTTCTGTGTCATCTGTCACCAGCTGCCCTGTGAGGTCGTCATTCTTGTCCTTGTGTCCAGGTCAGAAGTGGAGTGTCTTGTTCACTTTTGCATTTCTGCAAGCCTGTCGTGGCACTTGGTGAACTGATGGAATGATTTGCCCTCTCCAGGCTGGGGTTTGTTCCCAGAGGCGTGGGGTGGGGGTTTCTGTCTCGGCGTTGGAGGCATTGCAGTGGACTTAACGTGTTTTGCTTTGAGGCTGAGGCCAGAGGCCCTGAGACTCATTGGGTCCTGGCAGTGCTGAGTTTTGTTTTGGTGCCACTGTCACTAAAGCCCCTTCTCCAATTCTGCCAGTTAGATGAAACAACATGGGTTGTCCAACATGTGTTGTCCACCAGAAGAGCAAGTGAGGAGCCACCTGTGACACTGTCCTGGGATGTCCTCTTGGTTCTCTGCCAGATGCTGACCTCTGGCTCCCTGGGTCCCTTAGGGAACCCCCAGCCTGACTTTTTTTCTTTTCTTTTTTGTTTTTAGAGACTGGATCTCATTCTGTCACCTAGGCTGGAGTGCAGTGGCCCAGTCATAGCTCACTGTAGCCTGAACTCCTGGGCTCAACCTGTCCTCACCTCAGCCTCCCAAGTAGCTGGGACTACAGGCACACGCCACCACGCCGACTAATTTTTTGATTTTTGTAGAGACAGGGTTTCAGTGTGTTGCTCAGACTGGTAGACTGTTACAGTCTTTCAGAACGCCCACTGGGGCCAGTACATGGTGCCCAAGGTCACGAGCAGTGTGCTAGGCCCCTCTCGCAGAGGCCATGCTCTTGGCACGGTCTGGTGGACATACTGGCCTGCTCACCTTCCGAGCTCCCCAAGGCAGGGACCAAGCCCCATGCAGTGCCTCCTCCACGTGGCACAGCTCTGGGCACACAGAGGTGCCCGACCCCTGACCAAGGACCCAGAGTGGCAGGCTCGCTACTAGAACAGACTCCTTTTCACCTGTAGAGAATGGTGAGATGTCAGGGCAGGAGCTTTGTTTTAACTCAGTGTCTGTGTTCAGGGCTGACGGAGTGGTGGTGTTACAGGCACATGTCCGTCTTTTTTCCCTCAACATGTGTTCTGGGATGGTGGGGGGGGACGGGTATGGAGCATGTAACTGCCCCAGCTCCTTCTGGGGGGCCCACCCGCCCGGGGCTGCCTCAGGACTCCCCTGGGTCCCCAGGAGCTCAGCATCAAGGTAGCAGGGGCTCAGAGAGCAGCTTCCAGATCCTCCCACCCAGCCGCCCACTTGTCCTGTGGGCCAAGTTGCTGTCCTCCCAGAGCCTGGACCTCTCTTGGCTGTGTTACAGGGACATTGTCTTGTCACCTCAAACCTCATCCATCAAGTAGTTTGTCCCAGAGCCAAGTTGGGGACAGAGGTTGGCTTGAGGGAGAGAGTGAGTTGAAGAGTTTATGAGGGAAGCTTGGGCGGCGTTTCCTTGAGCAAAGACAGGGCCCAGGGCTAGGCTGGTGTGGAAGAGATTGGCCCAGATCCTGCCTTGACAGGCCGGAGCGGAGGCACACATGGGACTGCGCCAGCCTGCCCTGGAGACTTTGTCCGAGCTGTGAGATGGGCTATGGGGTCAGACGGTTTTGCATTCGTTCGTGTGACTGATGTGAGTCTCTGGAAGGCCGCAGCGCTGGCACTGAGGGTGGGGGGACCTGAGGTTCATACCCAGCACCCCATTGTGGCTCCTTCGTCCATCTGCCTCTCGGGGTCTGCAGGGCCTCTCAAAGGACGCCTTGGCAGGTAGAGCCGCTCAAGGGAGTGCCCCACCTCCACCCCCCACCCCCAGCCATGAAGGGATTACCAAGGGCTGAGGGTGACAGGAGCTGGAGCTGCTGGCCCTGGGGACAAGGGCTAATCCCTTGCCTCCTCTTCTCGCCTCGGCTTCCAGGCCAGCTCATTCTGGATGCGTGCAGCCATTTCCCTAGCAACAGAGCTGGAGAGTCAGAGTGAAGCATGACTTCCTAGGGCGGGCGGGCTTCATGGCGGGCTCCCTGGACTGAAGCCACAGTCCCTGCTCACCTGTCATTGGTCCCCTGGGCAGGCTCAAAGATTGACCTTCCCTTTCAAACAGGGTAAGAGGGCTGAGGGCCCTTCGTGGGGGTGGAGGGGCCCGTCACCCAGAGGTGGTTGGGTGCAGAGCCTTGTCCCAAGCATGGGGCCCTGGGGTTGGGGGTAGCTGGGGGTGGGCCGATGAGAGAGGTCACAGCCAGGTCATCACCCATCAGGATACGCTTCCACGCACAGGGACAAAGAGGCCTGTAAAGCAGGTACAAATTAGCACAGAGCAAGCCAATGCTTAATTGCCCAAGAATGCCGAGTGTGGGCACCGTGGCAGAGCAGGTTTCCAGGCCTCCTGCCATGGCCACATCGGCGCCCAGTGAAACTGTGAATGCCGAGCGCTTTCCTACATTCTCTTGTTGGATCCTCACGGCAGCCTCTCCAGGGCAGGGACTCTCGGCCGCTCCATCCGACAGGTGAGGGAATGAAATGGAGGCCGCCGTGAGCGCGCGTGCGCTGCCCAGCGTCTGGCTCACTTCCGCGCTGCTGCCTGCGGGCCCCGAGCTGCTGACAAGACGCAGCAATGCCTTGTCCACTGTGAGGGCTCTGGCCTGAGCTGGGGCAGCGGCATGGTGAGGCTGCAGGGCCTAGTTCCGTCTCCTCTTCTCTATCCAAGCCTCCCCTCTCCCACGTAACTACGACTTAAGGGACACTTACTCTAGGCCAGTCGCTGTGGCACTTCCCAGAGCAGTCCCTTTTGAGGGAGATGCTCTTGTCCCCAACTGACAGGTGATAAGAGGACTCCCTTAACCTGCCACCATCAGTGGAAGAGAGTGGTGGGACAAGGCCAGGTGGCAACAATGGGTCGGGAGCTGGAGCCCAACTTCCCAGGGGCCAGCCTCCCCCAGGCCACTGACAAACCTAGGGACGGGGTTGTGACAGAACAAGCACCTTTGTGTGTTTTCTGTCATCGCATCCTTGTAACATGTGGAAGCTGTGGGTGCTCCCACTTTGCAGATGTGGGCACTGAGGCTGGGAGGGCAGGAATTTCCCGGGCACACATCCAGAAGTATTCAAAGCCGGGGACTCTGGCTCCCGGAAGCATGGCTCCATCCTTTCTCTGAGCAGCACCTCAGGATGAAAAGGCCGTGGGGCTGTGCTGTCCGGTTCCGTGGACAGTAGGCCATCTGGCCAGGGGGGTGGCTGCCCGCTTTGGCAGGACCCGGACAGTACCCCAGAGCTGGAGGAGGACAGGACAGGGCTCAGGACTCCAGCAGCTGTTGCCCATTGCCTATATTGTGTCTAGAGAGGTTTGCTGGGCAGTTGCTTTATGTCTCCACCATGCCCCGCAGCCAGCGAGGCAAGTGGAGGGGGCCCAGAGCATAGATCCCCAGTGTCTGGGCCGGGATTATCCCGGAGGCCCCACCTGTCACCACACATGTGGTCAGCAAGCACCACTGGGGGCCTGCCTGCCTTGTATCCTCCGCCAGGGAGAGTTGGCCCCCAGCTGAGCAGCTGTCACTAGTCCCCACCCCTCAGCCTCCTTGGTGCTCACCCTCCTGGGGACTCTGGGAAGCACGGGAGGCTCCTTTCCATCTGGAAATTCCTCCGGGAGCACCACTTCCACAGCCTGGGAGCAAGGAGCTGGTGGGGAGGGGCTGTCCTGGGGCCTGGCTGGCCCTGTTGCCCCCATGTGTGGGGACAGGCCCCAGGACATGGGGGACTGGTGGCCCTGGGTCGCCATGTGGGCACGCTGGAGCCTAGGAGCCTGGAGGGCCGAGGAGCCCGAGTTGGCTGTGGCCACCTTGCTTGGCCCTGCCGGGTAGACACAGCAACATCCAGCTTGAGTTCCTCGCCCTCAGGCATTGTTTCCTCTTCCGCCAGCCTGCGTCTCCAGCTGGGAGTCCCTGGGTCCTGCTTTTGCGCCCTTTCCCTGGTGGCCCAGGGGCAGGCCATGGACGAACCCCGCTGAGCGGGCATCAAGGTCTTCAGGCTGACCCCACTCTTTCCTCATCCCCAGGATGAAACCAACGCATACGATGGTCAACTGCTGGTTCTGCAACCAGGACACGCTGGTGCCCTATGGGAACCGCAACTGCTGGGACTGCCCTCACTGCGAGCAGTACAACGGCTTCCAGGAGGTACAGGCGGGTGCGGGGCCACTGCCTCCTAGATGGGCACCCAGCGGCAGCCTGCCCACCCCAGGACTGGTGGCCCCACACCCCCTCTTCTGCCAGGACCTGAGCAGAGTGCTTCACCCACATCGCCATGGTCGACACACCACTGCCCTGGTGCTGCATCCTCATTTGAGGAGGAGGAACCAGGCTCAGGGAGCCATGGTGACTCGTCCAAAGTCACACCACTAAAAGTGTCACGTTTAGGGTTCAAACCCAGATCTTTCTGGCTCTGCAGCCCATCCTGTGTGTTAGATCAGGGTTAGCGAACCTTTTCTGCAACAGAAAGCTCTGCTGAGCCACTGTAAATAATACATGAATGAATGAGCCTGGCTGTGTTCCGGGAAAACTTCATTCCAAAAACAGGCAGCCACTCCATGGCCATGGCCTGCCGACCCCTCGCTAGACCCAGGTTTGCAGGCTGAGTTCGAGAGCGGGGGGTTCTAAGGACTGTGCCCGGTAGCAGGGTGTGGTTGGGAGGCGGGTTCCACGCCCTGCTATGTGCTTAGGCTGGGTGGCTTCACTCAGTATCTGGGCCTTTGGGTTCCCTACAAATGTCTTTGGAAGAAAAGCTGCTGCTGTTGCATGTAAAAAAGAAAGAATGGAATGCCTGGGAGCCACCGTCACTTCCCAGCGTGTCCCTGCACGGGACCCCTGGCACCAAGCCTGAGCCAGCCGGGGAGGGAGGCTCGCCCACTGACCATGAGTCCCGCCCTCCTCTCCCAGAACGGCGACTATAACAAGCCGATCCCTGCCCAGTACATGGAGCACCTGAACCACGTGGTGAGCAGCACTCCCAGCCTCCGCGACCCCGCGCAGCCGCAGCAGTGGGTGAGCAGCCAAGTGCTGCTGTGTAAGAGGTGCAGCCACCACCAGACCACCAAGATCAAGCAGCTGGCTGCCTTCTCTCCACGCGAGGAGGTGAGGCCGGGACAGGGAGGGCCTTTCTGGGGAGGGGGTGCTTAGAGCAGCTGAGGGGACAGGCACGCGTGCAAGGCACTGGCTGGGTGCCGTCTCTGGGCGTCTGGCCCCTGCTCCGCCGGACAGCAGCTTTTCTGTCCCGAGTGCCCAAAGGGCCCCCCTCACCCTGACCCCTGCCAGCCACACATTCCAGGGTATCTTAGTTCTCCCATCTCAGTTGTAGCCGAGCTGCTTCTCCCAGTGCCTTGTGGTCACTGCTGTCTGGTTCCAAGCCTAAGAACACCGTGGAAACACCAGTGCCTGCCAGTCCAGAGGAGTTTGTCCCTGGGCCAAGGGAGGTAGGGATCCTGGGCTCCAGCTGCGGCCCTGTTGGACCCATACTGTCCTCATCCCTCTAAGTCAGTCTTGCTCGTTGGCAGCCTAGGCAGTTTGTTCTGAGAGTTGGCAGAGAATGCTGCTGGCTTCTAGGAGAGGAAGGAAGCTAGCTGGATGCTGCTGAGAGGCTTGGCGTTAGGAGTTGGGCTGAGCTGGGAGCTTCGCCTTCCCTGTGCCCACCGTGGAGCCCAGGAGCCCTGTTACCTGGTTACTCCTGTCCACCCCCTACCCCAGACCTCAGCTAGCCGGGGTCCTGTGACCTCAAGAGGCAGATCCCAGCTGAGACCCAGAGACTTTGGCTTTCCCAGGGTCCAGCCTAGGAGGGAAGAAGAACAGGTGAACTCACACCAAGGCAGAGAGAGATGGGGAACATGCAGAAGGGGAAGGAAGGTGTGACTCAGCAGCCAGGCGGTTTTCCTGGAATGCTCGGTCCCAGCAAGAGATCACACTGATGCCTCACCCCGCCACTGCGGACTGAAATGTTTGGCTTTCTTGGAAACAGGAAGGGAGAGGTGCATTGCTGCATCTGTGAGGGGAGAGGGGGGATGGGATCTGTCTTCTGGGCTGCTCCAAAAGCCTAAAGAACCCTCTGCCCCCTCTGAGGCCCAGGCCCGGGCAGGGCCTCTCTAGTGCATTTCACACCCTCAGGCCCAAGGGGAAGCCCTGCTTCAAGGTCGTCTGTGTGCCCACCTTGCCATACGCAGTGGGCAGAGGGGGAAGCAGGTTCAAAGTGGGGATGATGTGCCCATGGTCACCCCCTTGTGAATGGCAAGGCCAGGATCTCAACCCAGGTCCAGGCTGTAAGATGAGCAGCTCAGCCACCTCCTCGACCCCCGACACCGATCCTCTGTGCCCCCGCCCTGCAGGGCAGGTACGATGAGGAGGTGGAGGTGTACCGGCACCACCTGGAGCAGATGTACAAGCTGTGCCGGCCGTGCCAGGCGGCCGTCGAGTACTACATCAAACACCAGAACCGCCAGCTGCGCGCCCTGCTGCTCAGCCACCAGTTCAAGCGCCGCGAGGCCGACCAGACCCACGTGCAGGTTTGAGGCGGGTTCCACGCGGCACCTGGGGCATCGAGGCGCGGAGTTTGTACGGGAAACCCTCGCAGAGGGCTGGGTCCTGTGACCAGAGGGCAGCTCTTCAGAGCGGAGACCCTTTTCCTTGGAGAAACAACCTGCCCCTGGGGCCACCGTCCCACCCTGCCCCCCAGGTCTCTTCATGTCATCATTCAGAATAGAGAGTGACCAGTTTCATCATGTATTCCTCATTTACATATCCGAGCATGGGTTTGGGGTTGCCTTGCTGTATCCGAGCACTTCCTGACACCGTCGCGTTCGTTCCTCACAGCAAGCTTTGTGGTGCACTCTTAGCTGCTGGGACCCCGTCTACAGCTGTGGAAACCACACTGAGGGAGGCTAAGAAGCTTGCACAGGGCCACACATAAGGCCATGTACTTGGTGTGTGGTGACGCCAGGATTTGAACCTGGTTAAAACTACTGATTTTTATCACAGTACTCAGTTAATGGAATATTCTGGTTTTTAAAAATCAGATATAGTAGCAAGTAGTTTTAGAAGTAAAAACTACCCCCTCAAGTCCCCAGATACGTGCCCTGAGTCTGGTTGCTGTGTGGTTTCTAGTCTGCGGCTGGACCTCTAACCACACCGCTGCGCTGCCACCGCCTGGTCCTTGGACCTGTGGTTCTCATTCTGGCCACCGTGTTCCTGGTCTGAATAACTTACTACTGTATTTTTAAGTTTAATTGTTGCCAGAGTTATCTGTACATTTATGTCAATTCCAGTTAAAGTCACTATAGCAATTTTTGGTGAGGACATGACAAAATGATTGAAAAATGTATTTGGAGGAATAAGGTCACCATGATACGGAAGAGACTTCCGTAAAAGGAGAGCGTGATGGGCAGCACTGCTCCCCCCGCAGAGTGGGCCCCGCGGGTGCAGGTCCAGGGTGGCACAGGCCTTGGAACCGAGCGGCGCCTTTGAGCAGAGCTGGGGTATGGGAAGAGGGTGCCTGGTGGGATCCTTCAGTGCAGAGTGGCACCAGGAGTGGCTGTGGGTGGCTCTGTGGCCACCTCGCTGACCTGCCTCTCTCCCTCCTCAGAGCTTCTGCTCCTCCGCAGCGAAGGCCCCGGCCCAGGTCATCCTGCTCCGTGCCCTGGCCTTCCTGGCCTGCGCTTTCCTGCTGACCGCCGCGCTCTATGGCAGCAGTGACTCCTTCGCCCCAGGAGCTGCCCTGCCCCTGGCCCTGCCACCTGGTGGCAATGGCTCTGCCACACCTGACAACAGCAGTGCCCCTGGGGCTGAGGGCTGGCGGCAGCTGCTGGGCCTGCTGCCCGAGCACACAGCAGAGAAGCTGCGCGAGGCCTGGGCCTTCGGGCAGAGCCACCAGATGGGTGTCGTGGTGCTGGGCCTGCTCACCTGCCTCCTGGCCATGCTGCTGGCCGGCCGCATCAGGTGAGTGTGGGGCCGTGGGCACGGGTGGTCTCAGGGTTTGTGTGCTGGGTGGCTGCCTGGAGGCAGGAGACAGGAGCCAGGAGGCCCCGTTGGGAGCACAGCCCCAGGCCGAACCCTTCTCTGTAGCTGGAGCAAGACTCAGTCCCTATTCTCTAGGGGCTGGGAGTCAGGCGAGCGAGGTGGGACAGCAAATGCCCTCAGGGGCAGCGGCACCGAGGCCAGCTCACTACTTACCTGCTGCGAGCTGGGGCCCAGCTGCCCTGTTTCTCTGCCTCAGGCTCCTGTCCGTAAAGTTGGGGTGTGGTAACCACCTGCCTCGTGGGCTGTGGCGGCTCATGCGGGGTGCTCCCTGAGCAGGAGCAGGCCCTGTGCGAATGCTGTGGTGTCCATATCGCCCGCCACTCCTCACAGTGACTCTGAGGGAGCTTTTCTTAGCCCCATTTTACTAGCGCACGGAGCCGGGCTGCGTGTGAGTGTGCAGGGATTCTGAGGCCCACGCTCTCCTCCTGGCTCTGGATTCTGCTCTCTGATCAGGGCCGAGAGGTCTCGCCCCACCTTGGGGGCTCACCGGCTGCTCTCCCTGCAGGCTCCGGAGGATCGATGCCTTCTGCACCTGCCTGTGGGCCCTGCTGCTGGGGCTGCACCTGGCGGAGCAGCATCTGCAGATGGCCTCGCCCAGCTGGCTGGACACGCTCAAGTTCAGCACCACGTCCCTGTGCTGCCTGGTGGGCTTCACGGCAGCTGTGGCCACAAGGAAGGCGACGGGCCCGCGGAGGTTCCGGCCCCGAAGGTCAGAGAAGCAGCCGTGACTGCGGGGGGAGGACAGATGGACGGACAGGCCCAGGCTTTGCCCCAGCCCGGAGCAGGGCACCTCTCTGTCTTGCCTCTTCTTACCTGCCTCACTCGCGCCCCCCCCAGCTTAGAGCCTGGTCCTGGCCCAGCCCCTCAGCCTGTCCGTCTTTTCCCTTCTGGCTCCGCCAAGCTATCCCCAAGTGTCCTGTGGCTACTCACCACTGCCATCACCTCTCTGGCCAAAGACCCTTTCGCTGCCCCAGTGACCAGAATATAGCCAGCACCCACACCACCTGCCTCTGACCCTGGCTTCCTGCTGGCAGCTCAGGCACCCCTCCTCTCGCCACAGCCTGTTCCTGGCTCTGACGCCACTGGAGGAGGGCGTGGGCCTGCCCTCTGCCCCTCTGTGCCTCTGCTCAGTGGCCACAGGCTGGGCCCTTGGTGCGTGCCCTGACCACGCAGGCTGCTTGTCACAGCAGATGCTACTCAGCAGAGTGATGGGCCAGAACAGCCTGCCCCCGCCCCCATCCCTACATGGAACCTCTGGTCTGCTGTGCCACCATGGGTCCCCCACAGTGCCCCCTTGCTGGGACAGCCCTGCAGGAGGCGGTGGAACCACGAAGGAGGCAGGCCTGCCCCTCTGGGTCCACTACTCAATGCCCTGCTCCAAGACCTTCCTGAGACCCGTGATCCTTCAGCCTCCTCCCCCGGGAATGGAGAGTACAATTCTTGGGCCGTCTGGCCTTGACCTTGAGTTTGTGGGTCAAGACCCCTCCCAAGGTGGACACTAGAAAGTCCTGCTTCTTGTGGTCAGCAGGTTTGCTCTTCACAGCCAGGCTGTGGTGGGTGTTTGCCCACCTGGAGGAGTCTTAGTCCTTTGTTCATTAGGTGTCACTGAGCACCGCTGTGGGCCAGGCAGAAAGAAGCAGGCGTGCGTGCTCTGCCCCCGAAAGGCGGGATCCCTTTCCTGTTAGCTGGGGGCTAGAGTTGGGCCTTCCTGGGCCGCGGCTTTCCTTGAATGTGCTTGTTAGCTCTGTTCCTCCTTAGGCCTGGGGTGTCCCATTTCCTCCACTCACCCTGTAAGGATGCCCAAGGTCAGCACAGATAAGGGGCCCAAGGGACACATAGGCCCTTGGTGACACTAGGCCATTGTCATCTTGTCCTTCTCTGGCCGATCACAGCCTCCCCAAGCCCCTGGCACAATGCCCAGGCTCCAGCTCTCCACGTCTCTGTGTGGCCACCACAGGCCCACACAGCCCAGCCTTACTCTGCTCAAGTCAGGTGGGGGGGTCCCCAATGGGGGCGTGCCCAGGGGTGCTGCCTCCCAAAGTCATGCCCAGGGGAGGCTACAGACCTGCTTGTCAGTAGCTGTGCTCTGCTGGGCAGGCCCTTGCAGTTCCCAGCCTCAGTTTACAATCTGGAATGAGAGGTGAGTCCTTTCCAGGGCCCGCGGGCATGAGCATTATACGAAGTGGCGTGTGAGGACACGCTTTGGAAATCGAGGTGTCGTCCACATGCATGGGAGGTTCTCATCCTGGGGGCTACATCCAAGAGTCACAGCCAGAGTTGGGGGACCAAGGGCTTCCCCCACCTGTCATGTTGCCCTCTGGTGGCCCCAGAGTGGGCTGCACACTCCCTCCAGGGCCCATGTGTCCTGCCATTTGTCACTCGGAGCATAAGTTCCCTACCCCCAGGTGTGGCCCAGAGTGTCCCGGCTCCTCTGATCCGTGCTCTAGGGCCCAGGGGAGGCAAAGACAGATGATGTGTGTGAGGGTCACACCCAACTTCCTGGATCTGAGGAGGCAGGTAGGTGGGAGGTACCCTGGTGAGCTCCACGTGGAGCCCCGCAGGGAGGCAGAGTGGTGCCTGGGCTCCACTATTGTGAATCCGCCACCTTTGAGGGTCCTAAGAGGCCACCCCAGCCCCCGAGCCCCAGCGATTGGATAGTAGCCCGCTCCCTGTGCATCACCCGCATGTCATGAGCCCAGGTGGGCTTCTGTGGCCAGTGAGCTGTGACTGCAGACAAGGCCCTATGGGCTCCGCTTGCGCCTCTGTGGAGGTGAGATGAAAACCCCTCTGAAAAGACGGGGACAGGCCGAGTCCTGTTGGCTCAGCAGTGAAGAGGGTGGGGTTGGGTCAGAGCAGCCTCGGGTAGCATGTCTGGCCGCCTGCCTGTCCTTTCCCCCAGCCTCCCACCCCCAGAAAGAGCCTAAGAGAAACGGAGGTGGCAGGTCAGGAGAGGCGGGTCTGTCTGCCGTGCATGCCATTGCTCGTGTCTCGACTCCCGTTCTCGAGGAAGTTTTGACAGTGTGACACTGATTTCTGCTTTTCTTGGCATTGGGTAGAAGCAGGACATCTGTGCGTATGTGTGTATTTAAATTAAATTATTTATAATAACCAGAACCAGCTCTTGCTGGCCAGCATCCCCTGCTAAGCAGACGTCTCTCCCGCCCTGTGGTGGGGTGTGGAGGGACATCTCCTGAGATGGCCGTCATCAGAGCAAGGATTCCTGGCCTTCTTAGAGTTTTGTGTGACTTTTTAAAATTACCCATCTGTCCCTTAAAGTTTCGTCACTTGGAGAACATGCCAGTACCTTGTGACGTTACTGGAGGAAGTGTGGGCACCACTGCGTTTGGGCTCATTGCTGGAAATGTGTCACCCCTGCCGGGGACTTCTCTCTCCCTTGCTGGGGTCGGCTGTCAGGGTGGGATCCTCCTAGGTGCGGGGTGACCGTCCCTGAGACAAGAGCAAGGTCTTCACCCTCCAGGTCTGGGATCCCCACCCGGGCTGAGCAGGCTCCCCAGGGACACTTGCCTGGGAGCAAACGACCAGGACGTACCCTCCAGACCGCCCCACCCGGCCCAGAAAGGAGCCTGTGTCCTTTCTGTCCATGACTGTCACTGAGTCTCATCTGTGTCGTGTAGTAGAATTGTGGATAATTGTCTAGTGACCCTCAAATCGCTGTAACCCCCGATTCTGGTGTAGATGTCGTGTTTTGGATGCTGTGTTTTAAATAAATGCCTCCCGGGGGGGGGCCCCTGCTTTTACCCATTGGCGTCAGGTACCGCGTCTTTTTTCTTCCACGCTTCCTCAGGAAGGCTTCTGTGGCAGGCCTGGGGGTGGGTGGACTTCAGGCGCGTCCGCTGGAGTCCGCGTGGGGAGTCAGGATTGGGAGCTGGGGACGATGACGCCAGGCGGCTCTGGGGGCCCCGCTCTCCTCGCTGGCCTTGCCGGATCGTACCTTTCCTGTCTCAATAAACTGCTGCTTAAAACGTAGTCCTCTCTCTCTCCTTCCACTCTTGACTCGGACTGGGACTGGGATGGAGAAGACCAGACATCTCCCCCAGAATCACTATCCTGAGGTGGAGGCACAGGCTTGGATTCTCAGCCTTTAGTCCCTCTCTGAGATGTGGTTTGGGGGTGCAGGGCGGTCTCAGGGGGCCTCTCACCAGAGGAAGTGTCGGTACCTTTGAAGTTCTCTGGAACCTGACGGAGATTGGGCTCCTTTAACCAGAGGCTCCCTGGGGGACCCTCAGGCGGAGCAGAACCCTCCCTGCCCAGCCCTGAGAACTCACAGTTGGCGCTGTAAGAGGACCCGCTCTCTGAGTGATGTCACTGTGTCTCCCAGCCAGAGGGGTCAGGCCGCCAGAGAACTCCCTATAGCTCCTACATTTTCAGTGGCACCGAAATTGGGAACAGCACCTGTGCCAGGTGGCCGGGAGATGGGTTGGGAGCACTGGGACAGCCCCAGGTGAACAGGAGCTGGGTGGGGTGGGGAAGAACTGGCGATACCCAGCAGCTCCTCCTGGAGCTGACGCTTGGGGCCAAGGGTCGTGGGGCCCAGCAGGCCGCCTCTGAAGCCCATAGCCTGGCTGGGGCTCTCACTGCGTCCCCAGCCGGCCTGCCTGCTCCTGTGCCCTTGGCTGACTCCTGGGTGTGCTGTGCACTGCCTGGAGGTGGGTGGGCACAGGAAGGCCCACACAGAGCCCTGCTGCCATCTGCTGGAGGGGCCTGGCACCAACTCTTTTCCCACCGAGCGTCAGGCATGATCAGAGCAAGTGTCCAAAGGCCCCACCCACTCCTTCACTGCCCCTGCAGGGCCTGACAGTGTCTTCCTCCTCTGTTCTGTTGCCCGAGGTAGTATCAAATTCTAGAATGACAACACAAAGTCTTATTTTCTGTTTAGACATGGATCTTTCCCAGAGTCTTAGGGGCAAGGTGGACATAGGACAGTGGGGGAACGAGAGTGTGTCCAGCCTGGGGCCCAGGTGACCGGGCCCTTCTGCCTGGGCACAGATGCCTCCTGCCTTGATCCCCATTTGGTCCCCAAACCCTGGGCCTCACCTTTGGTTCCAGAGTCTAGGTGGCCTCCTGGTACCTTGGAAGGCATTAAAAAGGTCATGATTTTTCAGGAGGTCAACAGCTGACCCCGTGCTTTACTTATAAAACTTTTTCTAAGGGGAAAATGGCTGGTGGCATGTGGCTTGGCTGGTGGTCCCCAAGCACTGGGTGGTGACAGGCACCTTAGCCGGCTCCAGGTACCGTAGCCAGCTCCGGCTCACTGCGGGGCCTGAGCCAGCCTGCCCCTTCATCCGGCCATTGTCTGCTGGGCTCATTTGTCCCTTGGCACCGAGGTAAGGCTGGACCCCCGCAGCTCCGTCCGGATGGCGGACTAATGTATTAACGGTCTCTGTTCCTCTCTCCCCTCCGTAATCAGGTGCCTTAATCAGAAGCATGGTTGACGTTCTGGCGTGGGGCCATCAGGTCCTGTTTGATTTGTACCATCTCGAGTTAAAGGGACACTGTCACCTGTCTTTCAGGCAGCTGTGTGGTTGTTTACAGTCTTTTCTAAGTTCGAGTTAGGTGTGTGTCCCGGGAGGGCCTGTCTCAGGGGATTACAGGGCCTGGCCACCTCCCTTCTGCTCCACCAGGGACTTTAGAGGAGTTTCCAGCCAGAGAACAGGAGGCAGCCTACCGAAGGCAGAGCTGCAGTGGGACTTCCAGGAATCGAGCCAGGGGGCTCCCAGAGCTGTGCTGGGGCCTCCATTCCTGAGGTCCAGGCCGGTCTGGGTGACCAGCCTGTGTGTCTCTGAGCTTGGCTGCTCTGTCGGGAGGCTCTGGGCATGGGACAGGAAGTGGCAAGGAGTCCAAGTCTGTTAACCTTCACTGAGTGCCTGCTGTGGGACTGGGCATTTGTTTAAGGTGAAGGGTTGGCTTGAGGTTGGCAAGGGCGACAGTGTCACTTTAATACCGAGGCTCGTAGTGGAACTAGTGTGCTGTGAGCTGAGGGGGTCGGAGGGGGCATGCCGGGAGGGCTGGGTCACGCTGGCACCTCCCAGCCACCCGCTCCTAATGGCACGAGTGTGGTCAGACTGCTTTTCTGCTTCAACTAATGCACGCCCCCACTGGGACCCCGACTCAGGCCCCCACCTTGCACCGGGGGAGAGGGCTCGGGCCCTGCTGTGTAAGGGCCCCCTCCAGAACCTTCAGGCTGACCCTCTTCCTCTCCCGTGCCCGATGGGCCCTTACAGGTACTTCCCAGGAGACTCTGCTGGCCTCTTCCCCACCAGCCCCAGCCTGGCCATCCCTTGCCCGAGCGTCGGCGGCTCTTCACCGTCTTTGTTCGTCCCCACCCCGCCTGGCTTCCTGCCCCTTGCCAACCAGCAGCTGTTCCAGTCTCCCCGACGGGCCTCGCCCTCTTCACTGCCAGGCCGCCTCAGCCGGGCCCTCTCGCTGGGAACCATACCCTCTCTGACCCGAGCAGGTGAGAAGTGCGCAGGCGTCCGCGGACAGGTGGGTTGGGAGCAGCTGGGGCAGGGCTGTGGTGGGTGCACAGTGGGGGTAGTGCCGGGAATGTTTAGCGCTCCTGCCACCCTGACAGGCAGGTCTGGACTCAGGGCCTGGTGCAGCCACACAGGAGCTGCCCTCGACCAAGGCTCGTACCTGCCCTGAGCCTCAGTTTCCCCACAAAGAAACAGGGCTAATAGTAGAAGGCACCTTGTGAGCAGTTGTGAAGGTAAAATGAGATGACATTTAATGTGCTTCACAGGGTACCTGGCACCTATGGGTGCTCGGTAAACATATGCTCACTGGGCTTTGTCTTTTTTTTGTTGTTTTTTAAGAGACAGGATCTCGCTCTGTCGCCCAGGCTGGAATGCAGTGGCTTTATCAGAGCTCACAGCAACCTCCAACTCCTGGGCTCAAGCGATCCTCCTGCCTCAGCCTCCCAAGCAGCTGAGACTACAGGCACGCGCCACCATGCCTGGATGATTTTTCTATTTTTTGTACAGTTGAGGTCTCATTATGTTGCCCAGGCTGGTCTTGAACCCCTGGCCTCAAGTGATCCTCCCGCCTCAGCCTCCCAAAGTGCTGGGATGACGGGCGTGAGCCTCTGCACCCGGCCTGAGCTTTGTCTTTTGCTATGGTTCTTACCATTCTGGCTGCTGCTGTTGGGACTGGGGCCCTGGGGACGGAAACGGTGCCCTGAGCCTTTCCGTGGGGTCTGAGCACACAGGGCTTCCATCCAGGTCAGCCGCGTCTGTTGAGTGCTTGCTGCTGGTGGCCCTGAAAGGACCAAGAGCTGTGCCCTGTCTTAAAGCACTTTGCCGCATCCTTCACCTCTCCCAGCAGGATCTTCTAGGAAGTCAGTTGTAGATGAAACACAAAGTCAAACATACTTGGAGGCCCACGAGTATTCTGTGACGAACCTCTTGACCTCTGGGAAGCCACCTGGCACATACGGGGTTGCCTTGCTCTGGGTGATATCTCTCGGGGGCTGGCTCTCTGAGTACCAGGCCTGATGCTGGCAGTGCTGGGGGCTGTGAGGCAGGATCCTAGCCTCAAAGAATGTGGGTGGCATCACAGTTAGCCCAGCTCCTCATTATTAAATCACGGTCACCGGGCTTAGAAATGCACAGTCAGGGTCTTGTTTAAGCCTTTGAACTCTGCCAAGCAGGGCCTTTAGTGCCCGGTCACACACCCCTCTGAGCCTCGGTTTCCCTCTGTGTTTGCCCAAGGTTCTGCTGCTGCTAAGAACTAGGCTTTGAGCCGGGGCTGTCTGAGGTGTGCAAGTGAGCGTCCTCCGAGATGGAGGTGGGTCACCCTGCCGGCAGGGACAGCTCACTGGAGGAGACAGTGTCTCAGCTGAGCGGGAGGGAGGGTTTGAGGCCCTCGGGTCGGGTGAAGGTGTGATTACCCCTAGTATAGAGATCCGGATTCTGGATGTTTCTCTGTGACTGAATACGAGCCCAGTTGCTGGGGAGAGTGGCCACTAGAATGTTCCTAAGCCCCTGCCCGGCGCCAGGCCCGGCACACGGCTCAAGGGACGGTAGCAGACAAGTCACAGCCAAGGTCTGGCCTGGTTCAGGCCCTGGGTGCTGGGGGCCTCCATGGGCACCTCGTGAGCAGCACCTGGGATGAGGAGACCCTGGACGTGGGAACTGGGGAGGCCCTGCAGTTGGGGCCCCAAACTGCTCTCTGGAGCCCCCATCAGGCACTGGGACAGAGTTGGAGGCCTCAGGTTGGGGGTGGGGCCTGGGTGCAGCTCAGGTGCAGGCCTCATCCCAGTTAATCATTCCGCAGGGACTTGACCCCAGAGGGGAGCAATTCCTGGTCCTCATATTTCCCAGAAAGTAAATGCCGGGTTGAAAATCAGAACCCCAGGCTCCGCCCTGCCACCCACCCTTCCTCTGGAGAATACCCCTGCCTGCTGCCAAGGGTCCTTTGGCCCCATCTGCTGGTCTGACAGAGGTGAAATAAGGGACACGGACTTGGGGCCACATGGCGGTTCCTCCAGCCTCGTCATCACCCAGGGCGAGTAGTGTTACCTGCCGGTGTCCTGTTCCCCATCCAGGACTGGGGCTGGTAATGCACTCTTCACAGGGTGCCGCGAGGATGACACGCAGGAAACCAGAGTGCCTGGAGTGGCCACATCCCCTGGGAGTAGCCCAGCGGAGCCCCTTAGTCCCAGCTCGTGCGTGCGCCTCACTGCACCCTAACCTCTTCCTCTAAGTGGTGCGGCTGTGCCTCCGGGGCTGTGGTGGGATGAAGGGAGAGCAGCCCGCAAAGAGCCTGAAGCAGGCCCTCGGCAGGTGTGGCCGCTTCTGTGACCCTGGGGGCAGATGGATAACAGCAGAGGCCTCGCTCCCCCCGTGTGGCTAAAGGTCAGGGTGTGTTGCTTGCACCCCAAGGTGGATATTATGATGGTTTTACTTTACCCCTAAGCAGAGATGTCTGTCTGTGTTTTCAGGGGGCCCCAGCCTGGCAGCTCTTGAACAAAATTTGGGGTGGGGGAGGAAACTGTGCAGAGTGCCTGGTGCTCCTGAGAGGACTCTGCATTCTGACCGAGGCTGATGGCACCAGGGACTTCCATTTCAAGCCCCTCAGGAGGGGAAGGTGGCAGTCCCAGGGCTGGCTCAGGCCTCTGGGTTGGGGCTTCCCACCCACCGAGAACAGGCCATCTCCCCACTGAGGCTCAAGGCAAGGGCACAAGACAGCCCATCCGAGCTGGCAGCAGGGTCCTGCGGGGTGCAGGCTGGTCTCAGAATGCCTGGTGATGGGTGGGACCCTAAAGTCTCCATTGCCAGGGTGGGTTAGAGGGACAGCTTCTTGCAGGTCTTTGGCTCACCTAACCAGGAGACCAGGGCTCAGGGTTGTGGTCCTCTGTTTCCCCAGCTCTGTTCCTCTGCTGCGGGCTTCCTCCCTGCGTCCTGCAGCCCGTGCCCAGCAGGAAACCCTCTCCCAGCACCCACAGGATGGGTTCCGCAAGGACTCTGATTGGGGCGCTTGGGTTATGTGACCACCCTTACCCAGTCACGTGCTGGTCAGGGCCTGCGTCCCTGGCCTGGTGGGGGGAGGGGCAGGCGGAGCACTGTGACCCGTGCAAGCTGGGCCAGACCCTTCAGAGGCAGCGCACAGGGGATGGAGCAGCGCCACCCCCAACACTCAGCTCTCAGCCGGGCACTAGGGGGAACCCAGAGGTGTGAGATGCCCCGCCCTTGGGGTGCATTTCTTTTAGGAAACAGCAGTGTGTTTGACGCTCCCTGGGGTCCTGCGCAGGCAGCAGGGACTGCAGTTAGTGGAGAAAGTGGGTCTCAAGGTGGCCGGGAAGGCGGGGCCTGTGGAAAGAAAGACAGAGTGAGGAGGAGTCGGGTATGCCCAGATGCCAGCTCCTCCTGTCTCCTGCCGTGAGCGTTGGTTTCTTTATCTGTAAAGTGAGGGTACTCGCAGCATACCTCAGACAGCATCTGGGGGGTCAGATGAGCGCCTGTGCTTCTGTGAAAGCAAATCTGTAAACGACAAAGGTTGTATTTCGGCAGAACATCTGCAGGAGCTGTGGGGAGGCGGAGGGGTGGAGCGGGCAGGAGTGGAGAGGGCGGGCTCCCCCAGTCCAAGGCCTAACGTGTGCCACCTTTCTCATTTGTCCCCAGACTCAGGCTATCTGTTCAGCGGGAGCCGCCCACCATCTCAGGTGTCCCGAGCTGGGGAGCTTCCTGTTTCAGGTGAGGGGAACAGGCTGGGAGGAGGGGTGGGGAAGCTGCCTCAGCTGGTGCAGCGTGAGGCCGGGGGACTCCAGGGCACAGTGGTTTGCATGCGGTTTGGAGCCAGATAGGCCCCAAATGCGTGTTCAAATTTCAGCCCTGGGCAAGTGACTAACATGCCCATGGCTCAGTTTCCTGTTGTGTGAATGGGGGCGATAGTTACTAGGATCGGACGATACCACGCTGCCATCCTTACTAGCAACTGTGGACAGGTGGTATATACACCAGGGGGCCAGCCGCCAGCAGGGGCTCGGGTCAGCTGACCTTGAGTCCCTGGAGTTGGCTCCTGTCCATCCTTGCTCTCAACTGAGGAAGCTGCCAGGGGCTTTGGGTAGAACTTGAGGGCGGGGGGGCCTTGGTTGGGGTTCGTTGTTTTCCCCCTCCCTCAGGTGCCTGGTGGGGCACAGACCCCTCCTTGCTCAGGCTCCTGGCGGGGCTGCCTCTGCCCCCCCATCTCTGCACGACCTGTCCTTTCTTCCTGGGGCAATAGAGGAAAAGCACCAGGACTGAATGGCACACAGCAAGCATTCTGTCTTCGGTCGCCTATCTTCATGTTACTGTCATTGCCTTTTTTGTCATCCTCCCTCCAGATTACTTCTCTCTGCTGTCAGGGAGCTGGCCCTCCTCCCCGCTGCCTTCCCCGGCGCCCTCCGTGGCTGGCTCCGTGGCCTCCAGCTCTGGGTCCCTGCGCCACCGCCACCGCAGGCCCCTCATCAGCCCTGCCCGGCTCAACCTGAAGGGCCAGAAGCTCCTGCTGTTCCAGACACCGCCCGGGGAGGCCCCCGCCACCCCCAGCAGCTCGGACGCACACTCACATCACAACGGCAGCCTCTTCGCTGTGGAGCCACCCCAGGTGCCCCGGAGGCAGCCCGTGCAGGACACGAAGCACACCTTGGGTATGGCCTTTGACCGCCCCGCAGGGCCGCGGGAGTCCCTCTGCAGCCAGGAGGCCTTCGAGTGCAGCGGTGGGGCCGGTCCTTGCTCTGGCAGCCTGTGTGTCATCTCTAAGCTCAGACACCCCGGGTCTGGCTCTGTGACTCGAACCCTCTAGGACATTGCCCTCTACTGGCTGATTTTATTTTCTTCTTTTGCACTTGACCTTCAGGGGCCTCTGTTGCTTGGGACTGATTGAAAATACATCATGCACTGCCAGGCTGGGTCTGGTCACAGATTTTTTTTTTTTTTTGCTCAAATGGTGCTGTGCTACACAGCATTCAACATTTTTAATTAGGCCCCAACCTTTAAAATCTACACCTTCCACGTGAATTTGCGAATTTCCTGTGTCTCCTACACTGTCAGCAGATCTGGCCACACTGGGCCTGGGTACTGGCCGACAGGTGGCAGCGCAGTTGGGGTCCATGTCCCAGGCTCTGCCACCTCTGCCCCATCATCGGCCAGGGCCTGTTGGCATTTGAGTTTGCAGCTCCTGATCTAAAACCAGCCACCCCCACAGTGCTGTGCAGCCAGGATCCGAACAAGAACCTGGTCCCCTGCTGCCTGGGGTCGGGGGAGTGGGTTGTGACAGGCTGGCTCACCACTTCTGAGGACTGTCCTGGGATTGGAAGTAGAGCTGCTGCATGTCTGTCCCTGGGGGCAGCAGTGAGCAGCACTGAGATGCACGCCCTTTTCTCTGCAGACGTGAGATCGCAGCCGGAAGGAGGCAGTGCCTGCAGCAGCCGCTCCATCAAAAAAGAGGACGACTCGTCCCAGTCATCCACCTGCGTGGTGGACACCACCACCAGGGGCTGCGCAGAGGAGGCCGCCGCCTGGAGAGGTCTTCACCCCGGTTGGGGGTGGGGGGCTTGGGTCTGAAGCCGCCATGTCCTGGTAGATGCAGAGCACTGACAGTCACAGCTTCAGTTCCTCAGCTGCACCAGCCACGTTTCAAGTGCTCAGCGTGGCCTGTGGCTGCTGCATAGGACAGCACAGGCACGGAGGACCGCCGTCACGGCCGCAGGTTCTTAGAGAAGCTGGGCACGCTCAGGGTGGCTTAGTGCAGGGCTGCAGCCTGTGTGGGCGTGCACAGCTGCCTGGTTCAAACCGCAGCACCTCTGCTCCCTGACCAGGCACAGGGCGCAAGCTCAGATCAACGCCCGTTACTCCACCCTGGGAGGGGGCAGGCAGATCAGCAAGTGGGGTTTTTCCTGAGAAGATCATTTTGATCTGGCTCTGGAAGCCGGTGCTGCCCCCAGCTCAGGTGGGATCTGCGGTGGTGGCCCGGCATCATGAGGCCGTGGGGACAGTGCAGGCTCAGGCTTAGGGTGGGTGGACCGGGGCCACCTGCTGATTAGCTCAGGGGCCTGGGCAGGGTACTCTTCCCCTGAAGTCCCTCTGTGTCCTTGTCTGTAAGAAGATGTCACAGTTACCCTTCATTGCCCAGCTGTATGCATGTGACAGCCCAGCCCAGGCCCTGCCTGGTGGCTCAGGCCAGGACAGGCCTTCCGGGGCCAGGGTTCAACCAAGTGACTTGGGCAGGTCTTCCCTGCTAAGGAGATCTTTGGGCCTTGAGAAAAACTGGGGGGCCTCCCAGCCTGGGGAGCACCTGGGTGGGGCCTTGAGGCCTTTACCAGCTGCCTCCTGCGGGGCTGGGGGAGGCTGGCGTGGGGAGTTGCTGCTCAGCTGCACCCCATGTGTGTCTCTGACCTGGTCTCTCTGCACTCGCAGGTCGTTTCGGCCCCTCGCTGGTCCGGGGCCTCCTGGCTGTGAGCTTGGCGGCCAACGCCCTCTTCACCTCGGCGTACCTGTACCAGAGCCTGCGCTGACCCGCTGTTGCTGACCCTCAGAGGGTAGCGCCCGGTGCATGCTGTTCCCACCACTGCCGGCCTCAGAGCCCTCCCTGGAGGGGCTGCTGCCCTGGCCCTCGTCTCCAGGGCCCTTGACCTTGCGGGACCGTGAGCCCCTGCCCTCAGGACGCCTGCGCCTCCTCCCCTGACAGACAGCTGGGCTGAGTGTGGGTCTGGAGTCACACTCCTGCCCGCCCATCTCTTTGGCTGACATCGGTTGTGTGTTTGGTGCTGACACTCTGACCCTGAAGCCAGGGATCCCCAAGGGCTGCGTGACCCTGGGGTCCCACCGTTCTGCCCCGCCTGGCGGGACACAGCACTACTGTAACCCAGCAGTCCAGGCTGCCCTGGGCTCTGTGCCCACGGGCCATGCTGACATCCTTGTACTGTACTCCCCTGGGGGGAGGGAGGGGGACAGCCCTTGGGCCACACATCCTCACCCTGCCTGGGAGAAGAGAACCTCCCTTGGGTGGCCCTGAGGAAGGGTGTCATCGGCCCACCTTGCCCTTCTGTGCGGGTGGGCAGAGGGGCACCTGGTGGTCTCAGAGCCCCTAGGTCTCAGCAGCCAGGAGCCCAGCTGCGCCTTCGGGACCAGTGTACACACCTGCCCTCCCCTCCCCTCTGGCTCCCCTCTCCTGCTGGGTATACCCCTGTTCTGTGACCTCTGGTGACCTTCCCAGGAAGCAGCCCCATTTCCCCAAGAACATAGCCCAGGGCCTACCTCACCCCATTTTTCCAGGCCTGGCTTGCTGGCCCCTGGGCCCTGCCTTGAGCAGTAGGGCAGGCTGGGTGGGGGGGCCTTCAGGTCTCAGATGCGGCTGGACCTCTCCCCAACCCTGCTGGGCACCTGGCTCCTCTCAGCCACTGAGACCCCACTGTCCCTTGCGTTCTGTTCCCGCTGGACTCCACATGACCTCTGCCTCCCAGGCCACCCACTGGCTTTCTTTCCTGCCCACTGCCCTTGGTCCCTCCACTGCCCTCTGGCTGACCCGCCCCGGGAGGAGTGAGCAGGGGCTTCGGTCTGGGCGGGGCAGTGTGAGTGTCTGTCCATGCAGAGTCTGTGCCACCGGGGGAGGAGTCGGCTGCCGCAGTGAGTTCTGAGAATGGGGGGGATCACAGGGGCAGGAGGAAGGGTCTTCACTCTGTCATTCAGGGATAAAGTTTAATTTTATTTTTCTACACATTTTGCCAGGTAAGGCATTTTGCTGATAAGCAGGATGTCCCCAATTCTCCCTGCTAGGGAGGTTTCATTTTTTTAAGCTTTGGGTGCTTTTTTAATAATTATTTTTAACATGTGGGGAAGGAGACTGTGCTGACTACACTCTCCCCCTCCTCCCCACTCCTGTCCTGAGAGCTCCCCACGCTGCACCCCGCCCCGTCCCCCCCAGAACGTGGGGAGCGGGCGGGGGCGGGGCCAGGACTCCAGTCCAACTGCCACAGATGGTTCCAACTCGGAGATGGTGCCTCTTGGTCCCCATTTGTATGGTGGGCGTGTGTGTCGAGTTTTTTAATTTTATTTTGTGCTTAACCAAACCAAACTCCATTCCCAAACGCCCTTCCTCGCCGGCTCCTCTCCAGCCGGGCCAGCCTGGCCTCCCCTGCCCCGACCACGGTCCCAGCACCCCCGAGGGGCAGGGGACAGGCGGGCAGGAGGGGCTTTTGCTTCTGTCTCAAACAGAAAACACAACCTTATTTTTCTTTACAAAAACAAAAAAGGAAACCAAAAAAGATACAACCTTTGAACTGTGCCTTGCAGTCTGGTCTTCATTCTCATCTGCTGGGGGCTCCGGCCAGTGGGGTGGGGTAGCTCCTCTGCGGTGGAAGAGGCTTCATTCACTTTAGTACCAGCCTGGAGTGGAGACTGGGGCTCAGGGCATGGGGTGGCGGGCGCAGGGCAACCTGACCGTTCCCTGAGGGAGCTGGAAAGGAGACTCCTGCCTGGGTGGGGGCTGGGCTGAAAGAAGGTGTTCCAGACAGGGCAGCACGAGAGCCGGGGGCAGGGAGTGCCCTGCTGGTCTCTTCAGCAAAGCCTGTCCCAACTGGCAGCCCCTGCAGAGACAGGGGTCAGCATGCAACAGCGACCTTGTCTTCCCCAAGCACAGTCAGGATGGCCCTGGGATCCCCCCAGCCTTCAGGTGCAGAGCCGGGCACTGCCAGTCCTGGTCGGCTCTGCCCTGCCTGGGCAGGAGGCTGCAGGGGGTGGGAGTTTGGAGATGCACTGGCCCCCTGCTGAGCAGGGAGGGCAGGGTAGGGGGGTGGTGAGGGACAGGCCGCCTGAGTGTCACAAGCACCGGTTCTGGGGTCGGGCAGTCCAGGGACTCTGGGGTCTGCGTTTCTGTTGGCTTCACAGGGTGGCCACCCAGGGCTGCTGTGGGGAGGATTAAGCCACAGCTGGATGCAGAGGGAGCCCCAATCAGGGTGTCACTCCACAGACCCAGTGCCCTCCAGGCCGGTGTGGGCTCCCAGAGACCACAGGTGATTGGAGCCCCACCCCAGGGCAGGTGGGAGTGGGGCCTGCTGACTGCACCCAGCGGCTGCCCCCAGGTGGAGCCACCAACGCACCTGAGTTCACCAACCCAGAAGTCCTTGAGATGTTTCCTGGGGAGGCTCATCCCACTCTTATCTGTGAACCTGAGGCTCGAAACAAGTCAGACACCCCACCCAGCCCCTTCTCCAGGGCTCCTTCCCCTCCCTGGCGTGACAGGGAGCAGTGGGGCACAGTCCCACTTGTGTGGTTTCCATGAGAGATTCCCCCCTTAGGGTTTATGTGTCCTTATCAACACCATCTATTTTCTTATAAAAGGGAAACACGTTTACTATATAGATATATGTATATATTTTGAGACAGAGTCTCACTGTGTTGCCCAGGCTAGAGTGCTGTGGTGTCAGCCTAGCTCAAGCAACCTCAAACTCCTGGGCTCAAGCGATC